TTTTTTTTTTTTTTTTTTGAGAATGAAAATGAAAAGGGGGCAATGGGGAGGATAGACGAGGTGGGAGGGAACAAATAATGACAGATCAATTGCCATGATCTCCAAAGTATCGCCTTGAAATTCTGGTAGTCCTACTAGAAGCTGCCGTTAGAAGTGGTGAGAAAATATTTAAAGCTTAAATTGAATAACTCAAATGATACATATATAACAGCTTCCTTGCGCAATGTACGTCGCATTGAGATTGTGAATTAAGATATGCCCTGCCCTTTTCCTGAAAGGAAATTTGTTTTGATTTGAAAGGAGAAGAGGGCGTGGTGGAAAACATGCCTCCAATTCTTGATATCTTTGGTTTCCCAGTACTTAGATGTACATTATGAGCATTTCTGTATTTTGTTACATATCAGCTTGAACCAAGCAGCCTCAGGGCTTTAATACGATACGTATATCAACGTACGCATTACCGGATCATGTTGACAGTAATTTCAGTGAAACGCCTAGTGAACATGGATATGAATGTCTCAACTGATGCATCGAATGATTTGTGGGTCAGCTGAACATCGCCGTTTTCCTTACGAGCCACACAATGTGCTATCTTGGGAAACTTGATCCCGCCCGCTAATTTAGGTATACAGCGTAGGCTGCGGTATTACTCTAGGCGTGGTAAGGCAGAAAACCAAGACAGGTTATCATCACAGAGTGCTTGAGAGACGATAGTCGACGAAGACCAATTTGCAAGAGATATTGAATTTGTAAGAACACAAAATGGGAAAAGGAGAAGGTCTAGGCGGTTGTTACGGCTGCATCAAATACTTGGTTTTTGCGTTCAACTTCATATTTTGGGTAAGTTCACCCGTAAATTCAATCTATTTTCACTGTTTACATTGTTCATTCTGACGCCGTGTTTATTGTACGCCCCAGCCCTATGTACGAGTCAGAAAGCTTCGGGAGCTGCTAGGGTCAAATACGTAGCGAGGCTGCGCTAAGAGGCTATGCATGCAAAGGCTGCTGGAAGCTGCCAGGTTTATATGTGGATAAAATATGTGAACCCTTCCAGCTGTGTAGAGATCTGATGATGTTATCGCAACAGCCCGTGCATATTTGCCTGCAGTACGATCAATGCACGTAAGAACTAATCGAAACATTGTGCATAATTAGCAAAACAGTGGTTCCGTAGAATGGCCCTTGTCTACAAATGAAGTCATTTTCGGAGACTGTATTTGATCCTTTGCGAAGAGGCCTCAATTACAGATTGTATACACATGAATGTCTTTGTTTTCTATTCCTTAAACTAGGTCACCGTTAAAAACAATTCAAACCAGAACTGATGTGCCCTCCATATATACACACAACTCGTAGCACTAATGAGGTAATTTGCCTATAAAGAACATTTTACCTCGTACCTCTTTACTCATAAACATCGAGGCTTAGATATATGAAATATACAGACGCTGCCCGCTTTGTTTTCGCAGTCTATCAAAGAAAAGAGCACTAAGCGTTCAATCGATGTAACTACATTTAGATTGTTATGCCAACGTTCGACTGACATCTTGGGTCAACAATGCAATCTCAGTAATATAACACCAACGTTGCAGTTACAGAACAAACCAGCACTCATTCTAAACGGATGTAACGCGCTAGGGGCGGATGTCTGTGAAGGCAAAGTTTTCCACTACTGGTGCCGGCTGACCTCGAAAATGTATGGAAACCGAGACCTCTATATATATTGCTTTTACAATTCGAACTTAGGGCCTATTTTTCACACCAATATCGTCTCCGAAAATTCATAAACATTGGCTTACTTAACAATTCTGTACCGAACATGAGTCTCGAAACGTCGTCTTAAAAATGAATTATGCTTACTCTTTTAGATATGGTGCCTTCTAGATGTTTTGATAATCGAGTTTTGGACCGAATTTACGATATATTATCAGTGCTTAAGTGCTCAAGTGTTGCATATGTTACATTTAATTAGGGTCAAGGTGCGCCTCGCTGTCGCTTTATGTGACCGTCGGTGCATTGTGTGTTACTCTGTAATTAACTTCACCATCTCGAGTTCATCATAGCCCCCTCTGGAATGTGACATAACAAAACTGTAACATTGGGCTCTGTACAAATATATACCCTTTGTATAGCTACAGTAAAGCAACACATGGCAGCCTGTAGCTACACTCAGTGTCTCTTTAAAGCATCTGTCATGGGGGGTCTAGGAATGGGGAGTTTTCCATTTAAATGAGGCACACTTCAAATATACTTTGTTAGAGGTGCAAACAAGCTGGAATTTGTGAAAGGCGTAACGGTTTTGCACGCGGGTAGACCACTCTATACATTGCCCTGAAGCCTGTGTGCATATAATTATAGGGCACAACGTTCGTGACCCTATCATGGAGAAGTATGTACATGTATATAAAGTCGCTCTCAGTCTGTATCAGTGCCATTAAGTTAGAAAGTGGGTGAAGATAGGGTGTATGTGTTCTGTTCTGTTTGTTTACCCAAGATAGGTGAGGATTATCCTCCCATATTACTCATCATCCACTGTAAATAGCTGCAATTTGCCCCTCCCAGTGCTTGATAGCCTGCACTTGACATCAGCCTTTACGGAAGGGGAAACTTTGTGATTAGCCGTCACAAGATTCCCCGCCACGAAAAAAATTATATTAGTCATAGAAGTATCGCGGGGAGAGTGGCCCTTAATGTTGCATGAACATAATGATTAGATGGCTGCCTTCCCATATAGCATAGCGTGCGCTACACTGGAGGCGATGCAGCCTTGGTCGTCATCACTAAATTATAGACCTTTCCGGATATGAAAAGTATCAGGATGTCACTTGACCTGTCAGTGTGTGTGACATGGCCATAAGCAGCTACAAACAAACTTGGTTAATTTTCTTAAACAAAATGTCCAATGGCAATTGAAAATTATAGCTATTCATATGCCCAAGAAAAGTATAGAGGTATTTCTTTCGCGTTTACGCCTAGGTAGGCCATTTGTATCTCCCTCCAGTTTCCTGCGCTCAGGACTGACGTGAATAAAAGATGTTCGGAGGGGGGGTGGGCGGGGGCTGGCTTTGTCTTTAAGTCACGATTAAATCAAATCAGTAGACACAGTGAAGTGGCATATCTCTTTGGTTCTTATCGCACCGTACTTTGGGAAATTAAGAATTATGCGTGCCTGTGAATAAATTGTGTAATTTTGGTAGACCTGTGAGAAGTGCGTCGATACGCGTTAAACATATTTTCTGTTGCCTGACCACAGCCATGTTTAAGGCTCGTAAAGTTGACCTCACATGAATGTCTTAAATCATCAAAGGCACGGGCGCATAGGTTAAAAATCAGTGCAGATGTAGTATATTCAATGAAAACGGAAATAAAGTTATTTTATAATGAAAAAAGGAAGTTATACTGAACAGTATTTTATAATGAAAAAAGGAAGTTATACTGAACAGTGACCACACAAAAATAATTAAGATATTCAATTATGCTTCACTATGAGTGAACGATGGCAAATGATAGCAGCGAGTACCTAAAATAAGCAGCATTAGAGGTTCTACATTATGTGTTGTTTTTAACACACACACACACACACACACACACACACACACACACATATATATATTCAGTTCTGATGGCATGTATTGTTGATTGCCGAAATCCGAACATCAGTACTTTAAGAGACTTAATTCTGCTACAGTACATATCTACGACCTTGATTCTGCCAAAAAGAATATGAGTCTTTCAGTCATGCTCAGAACATTGCTGCTATTTTAGTCCCAGCGTTCTACTCCGAGTGATTTATTTTAGTAACCTAGAAGAACACTGGTAGTTTGTATGTCAGGTATCTTATGCCATGAGAATGTTAGCAATGAATCGATACTTGACCTGTTACTTTTCCCCGGTGCTATTTTTGGAAATGAGCCCAACTAAACTGTTTGACTCAACGAAATTGCGTTTTTCTCCAATGACTGAAAAAAAGTTTTATTTCGACCCTTCCGCAAATTATACTAGTGCTTATTTGTCGTTAATTAGGCGCAAGATTATTTTTGCGAATATATATTCAGTGACTAAACAGTAGGTCTATTACGCCGATGCAAGTAGGAAATGAAAAGTTAAGTGGTATAGTGAGAGAAGACCGTTCAAATACGATGAGTACTCTGTAAGGGTTCGACGCTAAAAAGAACTATTTTTCATCAACCTGCGTCACTGACTTAATCGGCAAGATAGATAATCCGTGCTTGACATCGTTTATATTTATTTGGAATTAAAATTAACTCAGTAACTATAGGGAGTGCGCTGTTGTATGATAATAAGGACTATCGGAGAAAAAACAAACTAGTTTCAAAGCTCAAGAAGCTCTTCAACACTATTCATCAGCTATCATTTGGCCCTTGACAACAATTGTGATACCGGTTTCCACGAAAAAGCGCAGATAAAGAAACTTTTGTATTATAAGTTTTGTGTAATTAATAACCAGAAGGGTTTTTATAGAGTGGGGTCCGGACATCACCCCCCCC